AGTGCTCTGCCACCAGTACGGACAGCTGATTAGAATTGTCCGCCTATGTCGCAGTTCGCACGTAACTCTGTAGCTACAGCGACGTTCCTCCATTTACCCCAGAGTGTCTACTCTGGTACCCATTTCCTAGAGGCTGGGTGAACCCCGGGAGCTGAGTTGAACACCGACCGTGGGCTGCAGCCAGTCGCAGCTGGATTTGAAAGCGAGCCTCTTATCGACTGCGCTAACGCGGCCCCTATCTACTGCCAAACTATCTACTTTATTGTTAGATACCAAACAATTTACTGAGTTGAACTGAGTAAACAAGTGACACGAAAACATTCAGGACATTCCTGTAAACTGATGTACTGTCTGGTGCTATACATGTTTTACTTTGAAACTAAAATGTTTACTTTTTAATGCTAAACAGTCAGTTTGTAGCCTGTCCTTTGCAGAACCTTGCTTCCATACCAACCCTCCGGAAAAGTCTCGGTCACAAGCAAGATGTCCCGCGTCCAATACACCCATCTGGAGATATTCGGCCACACACTGAACCGATCTTCTCTTTGGTCTTCCTCTTCCTCTCTTCCCAGGCATATACCCTTCTATTATTGTTCTCTCTCATAGAGACAGAAGATTATTATGGCCTGGAGAGAATGAGGCACCAGGGTTTAACCATATATATATATATTGTGTGTGTGTGTGTGTGAGAGAGAGAGAGAGAGAGAGAGAGAGAAGAGAGAGAGAGAGAGAGAGAGAGAGAGAGAGAGAGAGAGAGAGAGAGAGAGTAAGCATTCATAAGTACACACTTTAGTATCAAAATGAAACATGTTGTCCGATGTATTATTTATTGCCTAATGCTAAACACTTCACTGTTTGATACTTAAACCGTGTGCTGTTTGGAACCGTGTAATACAAAACGATTTACTGTCTCATACCAAATTATGCATTGTGAGATAACAGTGTTGCCCCCCTACAATCGATAACAACTAAATTGTGTATATTTGCGATCTCAACGACAATCACTGCCATCGAAATTGGTTCCACAAATACTCGATTGCTGCGTACTGTTATTGGCTGTAGATATATCTTTAGTGAACGTTCGCCTGCCATCCACACATCGGTCGTCGTTTCGCCCATTAGCTCGCCGGTAGACGACTTCGGCGCCTGAAGAAATCCTTGCACAAAGCGCCAACAATATAGTTTCAACAACGAGCCCAAGGGATCACGTAGGCTACTTAAGTTGTGGGTTTGCTTTGTAGACTCCTTTTATGCGATCAGTGAGGATTGTCGCTGCAGCTGCGGAGTCCGTATTCTGTGTAGCACTCTCAGTAAGCGCCAAGCAGTTCTACAGGAAGAGACCGCGACATACATATGGGATAAAAAAACATTGCCTTCTCTCGACTATAAAGTTTCCTAAGTCTATTCGGACTTAAAACCGATAGCAAAATATATCTTGGAAAGTACAGAGGGTCTGCATGATATTGACCACAATAAACATCTAGAGGTAACAGGCTTGTTATACAAATATGGGTTGGCACCATATGTCCTAATGGCTTCGGTGTGTGGACATTGATCCTATATATTCTTTTCTTATAATCAGTCATATCTGCATACAAATCAGTCAGATCTGTAAAAAAAAAACGGATGCACATACGACACTTAGGTTCTGGAACAGGACTGCAGTCCAAAAGTGGATGAACAACCAGAAATTTCCGCCAGATTTTACAGCTGGTGAACACGGAGAAGAAGAAGAAGAAGAAGAAGAAGAAGAAGAAGAAGAAGAAGAAGAAGAAGAAGAAGAAGAAGAAGAAGAAAAAGAAAAAGAAAAAGAAAAAGAAAAAGAAAAAGAAAAAGAAGAAGAAGAAGAAGAAGAAGAAGAAGAAGAAGAAGAAGAAGAAGAAGAAGAAGAAGAAGAAGAAGAAGAAGAAGAAGAAAAAGAAGAAGAAGACGACGACGACGATTACAAGATTATGTTATAAACCTTGATGAATTTAAACCTAAAGGACAAAATGGAAGCACATCCTGTATTTATGTACAACGATTAGAAAATGGGACACGGGGAATTCTTAAAACAGGCCAGTGTAAAACATCATGATGGCATCACTTATCTTGGCGACTGAGAGAATGGAAATTGTAGTTAAACGTTTATCTCCTGGTTCGAAGGGCTTCAGCTTGAATCCACTGGCCAAGCCATTTCCATCTTCTTTTGGTTATCATACTGTCTAAAGTTTCTTGGTTTGTGGCTTGAAGTAGTTTAATGTTTGAGATTGTATCTGGCCAGAAAATTTTGATAATTTTAAGTAGACGTGTGGTGGAAGGTGGACAGCTTGTGTGCGTCCTTTTTGGTCATTCTCAAGCAATCCGTTCAATAAAGAAGAACTTGCAAAATGATGCTCTTGTAGAGTCGGAGTTTTGTTCCTCTGCAGTAATAGTTGGATTTCCAGATTTGCCTCATCCTTCCAAAAGCAGCTCTAGCTTTGTTCAGGTTGGACTGTATGTCTTCCTCTGTCCCTCCCAGTAGGGACACCACACTGCCAAGATATGTGAAATGTTCTACATTTTCAAGTGATTGGTTACTAAGGGTCACTGGTTGTTGGTTTGGACTGTTTGTCATGATCTTAGTTTTCTTTGTATTTATTCTCAGTCCCACAATTTCTGCTGTGCAGTGTAGTCTGTTACATTTCTCTTGTATATGTTCATGTTTATGTGATAGGAGTGCTATATCATCTGCAAAATCAAGGTCCTCAAGCATGGTGAATGGAGTCCATCGTATGCCTCTTAATGTCCTGTCTACTGTGTTCTTTAGTATCCAAACAATCACACGGTTGAAGAGGAGAGATGACATAACACATCCCTGTCTTACATCTGTCTTTACTGGGAAAGATGTTTTGTAATTTTTTTATACTGCAGGAAAAGTTTTTATAGAAGAGAGCAATTACATAATATTTTGCTTGTAACTGAGAGTAGAGTAATTCCTCTACAATTATTGCAGTCTGTTAAGTCTCCTTTTTGGGGAATTTTGACAATTGTTCCTTCAGTCCAGTCATCAGGCAACACTTCTTTTTCCAAAATATCCTTGAACAATGGTTCTAGAATGCTAGCAGTTATGTTGGGATCTACTTTGAGAAGTTCTGCTGGCAGTTCGTCTTTGCCTGGTGCTTTGTTGTTCTTTAAAGTGTGAATAGCTTTAAGGATTTCTTGTTTGCTTGGTGGTTCAGTAATAATGTCAATGTCCTGAGAGGCTGGTTGAATATCTGGGGGATTTTCAGGATCAGGTCTGTTCAAGAGGTCAGAGAAGTGTTTAGTCCACTGCATGTCTGGTTTTTGTTCTGTTGTGAGCAGTCTGCCTTGGTTATCGATCATGGTGCATCCTATCCAGATCTACTGTTCCCTAGTATTATATTTTTTCCCATGACGTCCACCCAAACTGTGATGCAACTTGTTTCTTTATCTAGAAAAATAGTGTTGCCTGCACATATTCCTGTGTCATTTTACGTAACAGTAATATGTTCCAATAGTGCTGTTAACTGATGCTGCAATTCTTCTCTCGGACAGTTTGTTTTGGCGCTTCGGCGGTTGCCATGTGTATTTAATGCCTGTTTATGTCAGGGTGCCGGTGTGATGTTGATCTTCTTCTTCTTCTTCTTCTTCTTCTTCTTCTTCTTCTTCTTCTTCTTCTTCTTCTTCTTCTTCTTCTTCTTCTTCTTCTTCTTCTTCTTCTTCTTCTTCTTTTTCTTCTTCTTCTTCTTTTTCTTCTTCTTCTTCTTCTTCTTCTTCTTCTTCTTCTTCTTCTTCTTCTTCTTCTTCTTCTTCTTCTTCTTCTTCTTCTTCTTCTTCTTCTTCTTCTTCTTCTTCTTCTTCTTCTTCTTCTCTTCTTCTTCTTCTTCTTCTTCTTCTTCTTCTTCTTCTTTTCTCTACTCTTGTAATGCCTCACGGCGTTAAGGCAGGAAAACATCTTTGGAACGGGCTCTTCTGTTCACTTCCTATAAAGTATTTTCCAGTGTCTGTGATATTTTTGCGGTCCATTCTGCATGCTCGACCTCTGCTTCTATTACCGCTTTCTACGAGCACAAAAGTGGGCCAATGTCTATTTGCTTGACCATTCAGGTTTAACACGATGCTCAATATGCCTAGAAACTCACAAAAGGGTCCTTTACTTACTTACTTGTATTGTTAGCTTTGTGTTTGTAGCACCACTGCCCGGCTGTCTAGCGTAGTTGGCTAAACCGGATTGCGCGGAGACCGGGTGACGAACTCCTTGTGGTCCGGGTTCAATTTCGAGGGTAGGCAGGAAAGCTACATTTTCTCCCATATTTACGGTATTTGCAATGGAATCAAGGCCGAAAAGTTGCCATATCCATAATACCGAGCCTAAGGGTTAACAACTCATGGCTTATGGATACTAAAACAAACTGTAGCACCACTCTATTTCCATTTTTACAACAGAACTAATAGGCATTCTGTGTGGTTTTAATTGTGGAATGATCATTGTGCCGTAAAGTTTGGTGCCACTAAAGAGCTATAATTAGTCAACTAATGTACATTTTCGAATGCTAGCTCTGTGGAAACATTTTAAAACATAGAAAAAAAAAGTTTTAGATTGTACATAATTATAATTAATTATTGAGTGTACCGAATAGTGTCCAATGCATTTATTCTTAACCTTCCCGTTGTGTTTAGACGTCCCCTTTACTTCTCGTTGGGTTTAAACGTCCCCTTTACTTTTCCATTGTGTCTAGACGTCTCCTGTATCCTTCCGTTGTGTTAACACGTCCCCTTAACCTTCCCCTTTGTGTTTAAACGTCCCCTTTACTTTTCGGTTGTGTTTAGACGTCTCGTTTACCTTCCCGTTGTGTTTAGACATCCCCTTTACCTTCCCGTTGTGTCTAGACGTCTTCTGTATCCTTCCGTTGTGTTTAGACATCCCCTTTACCTTCCCGTTGTGTCTAGACGTCTTCTGTATCCTTCCGTTGTGTTTAGACCTCCCCTTTACTTTTCTGTTGTGTCTAGACGTCTACCTTACCTTCCCGTTGTGTCTAGACGTCTCCTGTATCCTTTCGTTGTGTTCAGACATTCCCTTAACCTTCTTGTTGTGTTTAAACGTCCTCTTTACCTTCCCGTTGTGTCTAGACGTCTCCTGTATCCTCCCGTTGTGTTTAGACGTCTCCTGTATCCTCCCGTTGTGTCTAGACGTCTCCTGTATCCTCCCGTTGTGTCTAGACGTCTCCTGTATCCTCCCGTTGTGTTTAGACGTCTCCTGTATCCTCCCGTTGTGTCTAGACGTCTCCTGTATCCTCCCGTTGTGTCTAGACGTCTCCTGTATCCTCCCGTTGTGTCTAGACGTCTACTGTATCCTCCCGTTGTGTCTAGACGTCTACTGTATCCTCCCGTTGTGTTTAAACGTACCCTTTACTTTTCTGTTGTGTCTAGACGTCTCCTTTTCCTTCCCGTTGTGTTTAGACGTCCCTTTTATATTCCTGTTGTGTTTAGACGTCCCCTGTACCTCCCCGTTATGTTTTGACGTCCCCTGTACCTCCCCGTTATGTTTAGACGTCCCCTGTACCTCCCCGTTATGTTTTGACGTCCCCTGTACCTCCCCGTTATGTTTTGACGTCCCCTGTACCTCCCCGTTATGTTTTGACGTCCCCTGTACCTCCCCGTTATGTTTTGACGTCCCCTGTACCTCCCCGTTATGTTTTGACGTCCCCTGTACCTCCCCGTTATGTTTTGACGTCCCCTGTACCTCCCCGTTATGTTTTGACGTCCCCTTCAGCAGATTACAAGGCGAGCACTGCACAGACTGGGACCAGGTCTTTTCTTTTTTCATAAAAGTTGTGCACAAAAAACAACAGTCCATCCGATGTGCGTATACTATTGTAGATAATGTAAAATATATAAAATGCACTCTGTTGCATCCGTTCCTTGAACTTTTTGATCCTACTAATGTTGTTATCTATCCTTACTTATTTTGTGGTCGTAAGTGTGGAAACGCGCGCCGCGGATCGGAAGGTCGTGGGTTCGCTCCCTGGCGGAGACGGACTTTTCTTCAAAAATGACCTTGGCTCCCAGGTCGACCCAGCCTTGAGTGGGTACCGGGTGCAATCCCGGGAAGTAGAGGCGGCCGGCGTGATGCTGACCACATCACCCATCTTGTGCCGTTGGTCTATAAAAATATAGGTCTAGCCCTATATGCCCTATACGCCTAAAGGCGTGGAAAGGGTCCTTTACTTTTTTTTCTTTACTTAAGTGTGGATGGTCTAAATTGCTTAGGTCGTAACTCGAGAGAAAGTTGTTTAAGTTTAGTCAACCATTTCCTAAGTCTCCTCGACCAGCTGCTTGTTTATAGCTAAGGTAAACATAATGGAACATCTACCTGACAGGTAGGTACGTTCTGTAAGACCAAGTTCACCACGCAAGTACAGGTGATTTATGAATGAACAGGTGAACTCAAGGTGCTAGGTTCACTCACTCATAAATGAAGATACTATCTGGAACTTTCGGTTTCATTTGGAACATGCTGTGACAATTCTGAAATACACACAACTATGTTTCCACCGCTTATCTCGAAAGACAAGATGCTTGCAGGCGTGTCTGTCCCCGATATCTCAGAATTTATCTATTGTCCTGAAAACTAAACATTTTTAGCTGTCCCATAACTAAAACGTGATTTGTTTGTTTACTGCGGTGCGATAACAAAACAATGTTCTAACTGCATTAACATGTTTGAGATATCATAGAGATTAACCAGACGATGAGCCTATTTTACCTTTAATAATATAATAGTGTTTAATTTTAGACAGTGGTTCGTCTTGATGACATTGGTAGATAATCGTTTAAACCAGTGGTTCTCAACCTTCCTAATGTCGCGACCCTTTAAAACAGTTCCTCGTGTTGTGGCGACCGCCAGCCATACAGTTATGTTCCTTGCTGCTTCAAAACTTCAGTGAAATATGTGTTTTCCGATGGTCTCCGGTGCTACGGAGCCCGTGCACTGCGCTGAGCTACTTTGGATCCAGACTTGAGTTAGAAGTAGAACGGGGCACTTATGGGTTACTACCCGTGTGCCATGATGTTGATCCCTTGTTCAAACTTCAAACTTCGATGGTCTTTGGCGACCCCTGTGAAAGGGTCGTTCGACACACAAAAGGGTCGTGAAGTTGAAGCCTCAGGTTGAGGCCACAGTAAGAAAACATGGTAATAACGAAACTAGAAAGTCTTTTCACTGGAACCAGAAAGCAATAGAGGAATGCCTAAGGGCACAACGAAAAGATAATTGTAGCTAAGGTAAACTATATGGGACAGTCACCGAAGGAAACTTCAAGAGATAACAAAACAATACCGGCAATGTTAACTGGTCGAAAACCTATGATCCAATGGAAGGGATAGCAAAAGAAAATGCAGACTACTCCAGACTGGCGACACCACTTTGAGAAATCTTGGTTCTTAATTTATAACGTACCCCAAACACGAAATCCCCGTGGGAAATCCACAGCTGACCTGACAGTCCAATATTTAAAGGGGTGGAAGTGTGCTGTTGTGTGGGTTTTTTTTTTTTTTTTTAATTGTTCATCTAGTGTCTTCTAATCCTAACACTAACCCTAACCCTAACCTTAACCCTAACCCTAACCTTAAACTTGGCTGTAGATAAATCGCGAGAAACTACAACCTGAACACCTTAGAATTTATTGGGAATGTCTCCCGTTACGTTGTCGTGACGTCAAGGGTAAGTTATAAATTAAGTACCGAAATGTTCAATATAACCTTCTTCTTCTTTCCCGCGTTCACCAGCTGTAAAAATCGGCGGAAAGTTCTGATTGTTTTCCACTTCTTAACTGTAATTCCTTTTCCAGAACCTGCGTGTTGTATGCGCATCCGTTTTACAGATCTGACTCATTTGTCTGCAGACTGTTGGCTCCTTACCTCTCAAGCAGATAAACTCCGATACTGAAGGTTAACCCATTTACGACATCCTTTCGGGTAGACAGTGGGTCTATTTTTGTTTTCCCTATAATAGGGCACTGGAACCCACACGGTGATTCAATATAGTATAATAGAAAGTTCCGTCACTGGAACTCACAGGACGAAAAGGGGTAATACTAAAAATACACCAGAAAGATAATTAGAGGTATGGATAAAGAATACTGGTCAAGCGTGAATAAAGCTTCAAGATAGCCACACATGACTAATAGTGGAAGCTCTATGCTTCGATGGAGGGAAAGCGGGTGGGGGGGTGGGGGTGGGGGGAGAGGACTACTCTAGTTAAATTGGTGTATCTCCTCCCTATCGATTACTGTCCCTCCTGGTCTCCATGTTGAAGCTGGTAAATTTCCCCACACTCCAGACCAGGGCTGTCGAAGTTGGTACGTTTTAAAAGTTTTGTAGCAATACCTTTGAAAAAAAAAAAAAAGAGAGATTACGAGTTTTACATTTGTTTAATATAGCAGATGCTTCGATGTTTTTTTTTTTTTTTTTTAGTACTGCTTCGTAAAGCTTCATTTGAGGCATGCCATTAATCAGGATTCCAAAAATCGCTCTTTGTTTTTTTTTAAAGACTACAACAATAAATGCTTTGATGGGATCAAAATTATTGCTCCAGAATAGTAGTGCACCGACTTGAAACCGCTAGAATAGCTTTGTAACAAACTGAGCGGAAGAAATGGTACAGCAATCATATAATGGACACATACTTTAAATTCTGATCACAAATAATGTATGTGTGTGTTTTTGAAATTAAACATTTGCTACTTGCATATGTGTCTTGGTACCCTTTCCACACACACATGTATACAAACATGCACACACACACACACACACACACACACACATATTATTGGTACTATTTGCAGCAAAACTTCGGTGTCCCTGCTCCAGCCCTAAACCCAGAAGCAGGCAGACACCCCATTACCCAGTTACATTAATCTCTTACGCTAGAGGTTTCCCTAAAATCTAATTATATTATCACCGTGCCAGCAACTTTTCCTTCTTCGCTGGGTTGGCTGATAACATTACTGCAGACAAGAATAGATAAGGTACATCTCAACTTGGCTTGGCTGAAGGAAAATTGTTACACTATAACAAACTGTTATCGTATGATCATTGAAAAAAGCTCGCAAGACATTGAATATCCATTTGTAAAAATGTGTGAATGTATCTTGAGTGATAGATTGTTCTATTATTATTTGGTTAGTTGCCGGGTCGCCGACGCAAAGAAAGCAGTGGTGGGGTGGGAGAGTGTGAGAGTGGGGGTGGGAGAGATGGTCTCTCCTTACATGTCTGAGGGGGTGGAGGGCAAGTCTTGTTTAAGTGTGTAGTTACACACACGCATACATGTGTGTGTATGTACTGAATGGCAAATTTTTAAAATACATCGAAACATTTGGGACCTAAGTCTTTTTGAAGGGCATGAATTTATTTATGAACTGTGTGTGTGTGTGTGTGTGTGTGTGTGTGTGTGTGTGTGCGTGCGTGCGTGCGTGCGTGCGTGTTTGCATGCAAATATGCAAATGTTTGTGTTTGAATGGCAGATATATAAAAAACATGACAAATATAAACATATTTTAAAAGCATACTTCTTCCATACTTGGGGAGTGGGGTTGTTGGGCGCGGGAGTGGGGTGGTTGGCTGCGGGAGTGGGGTGGTTGGCCGCAAAGAATTGGCTATGACAGAACAAAGGGCGGAAAAATTGGCTATGACAGAACATAGGGCTGGAGACTTGGCTATGACAGCACATTCTTCAGCCCTATATTCTGTCATAGCCAATTCTTTAGCCCTATGTGCTGTCATAGCCAATTCTCCAGCCCTATGTTCTGTCATAGCCAGGTCTCCAGTACTATGTGCTGTCATAGCCAATTCTCCAGCCCTATGTTCTGTCATAGCCAATTTTTTTAAACCCAGAAACGTGTCTATCATGTACCAATTTTACAAAGCTGCGTCAATGAAAGGGATGTAACGTTTTTTTTTAAAAAAAATAATGATTTAAAGAAAAAAATCACTTCCCAATCACAAGACAGTAAACCCCGAGCAAACATAAGACAGTGAACCCCGAGCCAGCAAAAGACAGTGAACCCCGAGCCAGCATAAGACAGTGAACCCCGAGCTAGCATAAGACAGTGAACCCTGAGCCAGCATAAGACAGTGAACCCTGAGCCAGCATAAGACAGTGAGCCCCGAGCTAGCATAAGACAGTCAACGCCGAGCTAGCATAAGACAGTGAACCCTGAGCCAGCATAAGAAAGTCAACCCTCAGCTAGCATAAGACAGTCAACCCTAGGCTAGCATAAGACACTGAACCATGAGCCAGCATAAAACAGTGAACCACGTGCCAGCATAAGACAGTGCACCCCGAGCCAGCATAAGACAGTTACGCCAGGGCACTAATCGCTAGACTTTCGTTATTCTCATTCTAATGGTCCTCAGTCAGCAAATCACTTGCGCTTTCACAATGAAGATTGACTGCAATGGATCTCAAACTATGTTGCCTTGGCTGAACACTATCTCCAAGCAGTTTCCTTTCCAATTGAATATTAACATAGCCCCATTGTATCGTCGCCTACTTGTTGTTCGTCTGTATTTAGCTTTTCCATGCATTTCAATTTTTTTTTTTTAAAGAGTATTATGTCTTTTGATGCAGCCGAGATATTTCTATCGGAATAATTTCTATTTAACTTTTATTTTTATTGTCTCATTTTTTTTTTTTTTCAAAACATCCGTATTTAGTAAATTATCCCACCCATTTACCATCTGCCGTGAAAAACATCCTGTTTTTCCATTGTATATCTTCAGAACCGTTGAGGCAGTACAATCCTTTGAATTATTGTTTTGCACTGAACAAAATCCTAAGCAAAGATGCATTCACGTGTGTTACTCAAAACTCCGACATTACTGCTACATTGCCAATATGCTCTATTTCTGTTGTTGTCAATTATGCATTTTGTTTTTTCATTTTGTGTGTGTGTGTGTGTGTGTGTGTGTGTGTGTGTGTGTGTGTGTGTGTGTATGTGTGTGTGTGTGTGTGGAAACTTGATGACCTTTAACAAATTTGTAACAGATCCGTCTTTGCTCTGTTTAGAACTTGTTGACTGGATCATTACTCGCAAGCTGAATTTTTAAGTTGTAATCTTTCTCATTTCTCTGGTGTTTAAAGTTACTGTCGTAGCCGGCACTAGAACTGAGGGTGATTTATCAGCCGTGGCCAGAATTCCCCAAGGATTGCGCATTCATAATCTCTGACATGAACAATCCAGCTTCGTGTCTGCACAGGGCGGGAGTGTAGAAAGCAACCGGTTAAAAGGCGAGTCGCTTGTGCTACCAGTAAAAAGGCACCTGCGAGTCTCTTGTGCTGTGAAACCAGACTGCTTTTGCACAGTATTAAGAACGGCTTGTAAATCAGGTAAAGGACCCTCTTCCACGCCTTTAGGCATGTAGGGCATATAGGTCTAGACATATATTTTTACAGACCAATCGGCACAATATGGGTGATGTGGTCAGCATCACGCCAGCTACCTTTACTTCCCGGGACTGCTCCCGGTATCCACTCAAGCTGGGTCGACCTGGGAGCCAAAGTCAAGTACTGCTTGAGTTGTACCAAATGCTGACCTAATAGAACATGGGGATTGGGACAGAAGCAAACAGCTAGGGGACACAGTACGGCAGTCAGGATGCCGCCAAATGTAAATATGTCGATGTGATGATTAGATGTACAAAAGATAATGCAGGGATGGACAATGCTTTTAGCGAAACGACAGAGACAGATGACTGAATATAAAGCTAGAGGAGGAGGGATAGGGTAGAAGAAGCAAAGAAAGAGGAAACAGAAGCACAACAGCAGCAGAAGACGAAGGAGGAGGAAGAAGAGTAAAGAAAAAGGGAGAAAACTGTGGAAGACGTGCTAACAAAAGGTTACCTCTTATAAAGGCTTTAGTTTTCATTGCTTCTCAAAATTCTTCCAGTATCAATTTGTTTTTAAGTGTTTGACTCCGAAGTTTACGTAGGTAGATAAGTTGTACCCCACCAGGACATCACACAAGCGATAAAAACCCGGTGACACAAAGTGCTACCATACAGATAAGGATCACCCATCGAGAGTACTCGGAAACCCTGTTTATCCGTTAAGCCATATTAAGGGCCTCCGGCAAAAGCCCGGGTAGGGCTTCAGAATAACGAAAAATTGCATCCCACACAGGACGACTTATTATCCATTCCGAAGTTTACATTTCTTAACAGTTCTCGACCATTGAAGTTATTTAATAAAAACAAAAAATATTCCCACAAAATAGCTACACAATAGACAGAAAACGGAAATTAATGTGTGAATATTCAACTCAAAATCTGTCAGCATTGAAACAAAAAAGATGGGTAAACAGAAAGGCTTGCAGATAAACAGACATGAATATAGCTAGACCTCAATGATCTCACCGCTCTATGCAACCCTTCTCTGCATGCAAACAGTGTACACTCCCTTCCTTCTCTCAGCAAGAACGTTTGAGCAATGAAGTTATCTGCAGTGTTGCCACTTTTCTTTGACAAAAAATATCCAAAACGGTGTCAAAAAATATCTAAAAAGATCTAAATCTGCGTGGAAAAGATCTAGAAAAAATATCCAAATTGAAAAAGTCAAAAATTACATAGCTTTTGTTATGACTTACCCTACATAATCATGTCCTCACCTTCACTGATGTCTTCCTCACAAGATCAACATAATAAACTTAGCTTGGATAATGAAGTTGAAGCTTCAGATCCAAAATGACCCTGGTATGCTTTAGCTGTTCAAATTTCTTCATAAGTGGAACAGTAGGCTTATTTCTCTAGTCTCATTAGGCCGAATTGTAATGGCACGATAGCATTTAAGAAACAAATGATTTGGAAAACCAGTAAAGTGTTTCAGCAAAAAGGTATTCCAAATTCCTTGGTAAATATTTAGATAAAGAATGTGATAATGCTAGCTGCAATGAATGACGCATACATTTTATAAGTATTAACAATGGGTTAGCTTCCTTCAACTTGGCATAAACGCCATTGTTTATACCAACCATTACTGAGGCATTATCAGTACCAATTACAGCCAAATTCTTCAAGCCTAACTGTTTGCTGATTAAAAGGTCCTTCAGTTCCTAAACTATACTTTCTACATCACACTTTTCAAATTAAACTAATCCAAGATTTTTTACAAATCGATCAAATGGTCACAGTTTGAAATTGCGCAGTGACAAATTAAAAACATTCCGACTGATACTTCAACTTTTGATGATCCAATTATCAGTATAGTTCTGAAAACAGATGTCAGCGGTGTAATATCTTTAAATGAAACTGCAGTTTTATGCTTTTTTTAGTCTCTGCATGACTCTTTGAGTTTTGTATTGTCGCTTTAATTTCACACTTGCAGTACTTACAACAAGCTTGGTTATATACCCAGTTTTTAATTTTGTCATCATGAAACCACTCTTTCCAAATTTTTTGCTCATACTTTACTTTTGGCATGTTGAAAGGTTTTTTCAAAGTGAAAGCCACATAGGAAATTGAGCAATAATTTTTTTTTTAAATCACATGAAAAAGAAACGCAAAGTCAGCACAGTGAGGATACGGTTGAAACAAAGTTAGTATGATTTACGCGATTTTTTATTAATCAGTACCGGGGCTGCCAGATATTTATTTTACACAGTAATTATTAAATTGACAATGAAAGAAAAAAAAAATCTAAAAAATATCTATCTCCGTATGAAAAGAATCTAGAAAAATATTTACGATCTAAGCGTCAAAAACAGTATCTAAATGCAATGAAAAAGATCTAAATTTGGATATAAAAGATCCAAAGTGGCAACACTGGTTATCTGCAGTGTTTTCACTTTTCTTTGACAAAAAGCATCCAAAACGGAATCAAAAAATATCTAAAAATATCTAAATTTGCGTGAAAAACATCTAGAAAAAAACACATCCAAATGGAAAGAGTCACAAATTACATAGCAATTGATATGACTTACCCTATAGAATCATGTTCTCATCTTTACTGAAGTCTGCTTTACAAGATCCACAGGATAAACTTAGCTTGGATGATGAAGTTGAAGCTTCAGATCCAAAAATGACTCTGGTATGCTTTAGCTGTTCCAATTTCTGTTAATACCCAATCAGGAAGCTGATAAGTGGAACAGCCTTTTCTTACTCTTATCTGGCCAAATTTTATTGTCAATATAACATTTAAAAGGTCCTATTTCATCCTGTTTTTTAGGTTACATTTGATAAATTCACTCCAAAATGAAAAACTTCTAGAAAAACATCTACCATCTAAACGTCAAAAACGCAATCTAAATGCAAGGAAAAACCTCTAAATCTGGATGTAAAACATCCAAAGTGGCAACACTGGTGTACACTGCCTTCCTTCTCTCAGCAAGAACGTTTGAGCAATGAAGTTATCTGGCGCCTGTGACCCGAATCTTTCGAATGACGTAGTTGTGTGTGCGTATATAACCCTTGTGGGTGTTTTCACTAGTTCTGGTCGGGGCATCCACGCAGACAGACCCTTTAACTGTCAACACGGCAATTTTGTTTTCCATAAACATGCAGGGTGATTTTTTTTTACTGTATGAACTTTCTGAAACTGTTGACAGAAGAGAAGCACAAAGTCGTTAGCAGAACACCTTCATAATCGTTAAATCTTATACCTACGTGATAGGTCATGGTTTTCTTTGCCTTTTGGCACGTTGCTTTGTAGTTTACAGCTTGACTGAAATATCTGGGAATTTGAACTCAGAATTACCTATTCCACATTATCCTCCATGAATCGCATTTTAGGACATTTCGGTTAGTTCGACCTTAGTCTCCCTATTTACACAATTTGTGACCCTTCATTCATACTTCCGCAGGCGCGTCTATATCGGAGGGAAGGGGGAGGGCAGGGGTGTAACTCTTGTCTATCTGTCTAGTCCCATACGGTGACTCCTATATTTCAAAGGGTGCTAACCCTTAAACCCCCTCCCCCCTCTCTTCCCGCCCCTCTCTTCCCCCGCCCCAAAAAGCCTGCAACAGGGCCTCAAAAGGGGCCTCAGGCGGCGTCCCTGACTGGAACCGCCCTCTAACAAGTCCTGAAAAGGACCGACACTCAAGAGGGGGGAGACATTTCACAGCGTCTACTAGCTGAGAAGTCAAAAAGCCTCCTGCATTTTTGCAGCGTAAGTATGTCTGAAGATGATGTCATTTACAGCACTAACTAGATCTGTCTATCCTCTTTTACCCCACTAGGACATCAAACAAGCGATAAACAACCGATGACACAAAGTGCTACCATGTGGATGAGGATCACCCGTGGAGAGGTCCCAGAAACCGCGTTCAGCCATTAGACCATATTTAAGGCCGGGCTACATTGCGGCCCCTGGAAAGAGCCAGAGTAGGGCTTCAAATAACGAAAAAATTGAATCCCACAAGGGGATGCAGGGTAGTATGCAATGGCGGCAGTACGGGGTCCTCCAATTACTGAACTAATAATTGCATCCCATTTATCTATCTATCTATCTATCTATCTATCTATCTATCTATCTATCTATCTATCTATCTATCTATCTATCTATCTATCTATCTATCTATCTATCTATCTATCTATCTATCTATCTATCTATCTATCTATCTATCTATCTATCTATCTATCTATCTATCTATCTATCTATCTATCTATCTATCTATCTATCTCTATCTATCTATCTATCTATCTATCTATCTATCTATCTATCTATCTATCTATCTATCTATCTATCTATCTATCTATCTATCTATCTATCTCTATCTCTGTCTGTCTGTCTGTCTGTCTGTCTGTCTGTCTGTCTTCTTTTACCCCACCAGGACATCACACAATCCGTAAACACTCGATAACACAAAGTGCCACCATGTGGATGAGGATCACCCGTGGAGAGGTCCTAGAAATCGCGTTCAGCCATTAGGCCATTTTATGGCCTGGTTATGTTGCGGCCCCTGGCAAGAGCCAGAGTAGGGCTTCAAATAACGAAAAATTGCATTCCACAAGGGGGATGACTAGATATATATCCTACATGAGGACTTCGAGCTTTTAATTTTTTTTTTGTTCCTGTAAGATAATATCCGTATTATCATTTTCATTAAGTTTATTCCACTCTTGTTTTCCCCTAAGAGATAATGTACTCATTGTCTTTTTTCGAAAAGATAAATATCCCTTTATGATTCTTCAAACCTTAACTTTAAAAAAAAAATAGTGTCACTTTAGTAGGTACTTAACTTCATCTTCCCCGCGACGCTTTACAGTAGACACGGTTATGTTGGTTGGGAGAGAGAGAGAGGGGGGGGGGGGGGGGGGGGGGATGCTGTCATTACGACCCTTTGAACTTTGAAATAATCCGTTAGCGCTCTAGTCTCCTTCAAAAGATGGCGCAGTTAAATCTATGTGTGAACTTATTAGCGTGGTCGCTGATTTGGGTGTACATGAATCATCCATCATTCTTGGTAATTTTGTCTGTCTGTCTGTCTGTCCCTCCGTCTGTCCGTTCTTCCGTCTGTCCGTCTGACCACCTGTCTGTCTCTGTCTGCTTGTCAGTCCGTCCGTCTGTCTGTGTGTATGTCTGTTTACATTGGTATTTTGGCCTTTTTTTAAAAATCCTTCTAGACTATAAGTTGTATAGCGCTATGAGGGGACATGTTAAGTCACGGCACATGGCGATGGCGAGTGTGACTGGCAAGACCTGTCACTCTTATAAACGTCTGCCACAGTTAGAACATAGATTTCCTTGACCGTTGTAGGCATCACATGCAGGCCTATTTAGTGTGCCTTTTTTTCCCCTGACGCTCAGCTCTCAACCTATTTCTTGTTTCTCCTTTTATTCCCACAGCCTTAATTTTCCCCCCTCCAAGTAACATAGTCGATCTCATTTAGTGTGATTACAATGCTTGGCTATCCTGCGTATGACACGAAATGAGTTTGATCCTCTGTCAGTGGAGGGGGAGAGGGGGGGGGGGGGTTATCCTATCCTGTACGGTTCATGGCAACTGCACTAGTCATGCAACGTCCAATCCTCAAGTTTACGGACCCTTCCCTCCACCAGCTCAACTATCCCCCCCCCCCTTCCCCCCCTTCCTTCCCCACCTTACCCCATTATTTTTTTTTTTGGTACCGCCCTTTAAAAAAAAATGATGATAAATAAAGTCATTAAAAACAGACATAGGTTCAAACAGTATAACTCTCCGTGTGGGTCCCGGGCCCCATTGGGGGGATAACAAGAATAGACCCCCTACCTCACTAAGAATCATGTTGTAGGAGTCAGAGGGCATCTGCCCGAACGGCAAGAAAAAACCCACTACACACCAATAAGCCCGTAAAACGGACACAAGCAAAACTCAAGACTAATTGATTCTTGATGTTTCCAGTGTTGTGTCAACATGCCAGGAGTAACAACACGAGTCCGTGCGTGTTGCAGCATGTCTTGTTATATCTCTATAATTTCTTGGCTATGTTCTATTTTTCTTTTGTCAGTATTTTATTTTAGGAAGAATTCTTAGCTTATTATCTTCTTTTGTTCTTCTTATTTCCATATTTTAACTTTTCTTTATTCTTTCTGTGTTATCTTTTCATTTCTTGGGTTTTACGCGTTTATGCAATGAATCTGATATCTTTTTTAGTAACAAAAAACGAGGGATAAATAAGTGGAGGCATGAAAGATAGCAAAAGCAGACAGACCGACAGCCAAACATATAGGTAGTCATAAACAACATACATAAACTAAACCTTCGACCTTAAACGACTTGACTTTTTCGCCAGGGAAGAAACCCCTCCCCACCACTTTAAAAAAAAAACGTATGTTCAGGAACCTGAACTAACTGTTAAAAATTGTGTTGGCTCTTCAATTTCCGCCACACGCCACTTCACTGTTGTAAGTCTCACACGGCGTGTAAGTGAAGCAGAACTGTTCTGTCTCAAGTATAGGGTGCACTTCATGACCTCACTGTGAACGTCAGCAACTACCTATTTCTCCACCCTCTGCTCCAGTATTAGTCCTCACGTGCCACTATTTAAACCAAAGATTCTTAAACTGAGAGGCATCGGCGACCGGGTCGCCTCCTGACTCGTTGGTAGATGACCTCGTTGCCACTCAGGACAGTAAATGGGTCAGTCTCTTTTGATCGCATCAACACTGCGAGATTCCTTTTAAGAGCTACCTGCTGGCGAGCAATGTTAAGCCATTTTAAATGGCGCAAATAACCTAGTCACAATTATAACCAAAAGCTTCACCTTCGGGGTTGCTATTTGAAAGTGACGATTTGTTTCTTCTCAAAAACGGTTCGAAAACTGAGAGACTGCCCAGACGCAACCCATCCATACTGGACTACACACAAGTTATCTCGTAACCATTTTGTTGTGCCTCAGTATAACTGTAAAGGTAACGACGTAAAGGACCCTTTCCCGTGCCTTTAGATGAATTGGGCATATAGGGCTAGACCTATATTTAATAGACAAATCAGCTCTTGGTGAGTGATTTGATCAACATCCCGTTGACCAGCTTTATTTACCAGTATTATACCTGGTACCCACTCAAGGATTGGGGTAAAAATAGGAGCCATAAATCATTTCTGGAAAAGTCCGGCTCCATCACGACCCGAACAACCCACGACACTCTGATCCGCAGGTTTGAGGTTTGACCAACGGATCAACATCACGCGGGTTTGAGGTTTGAACAACGGATCAACATCATGGCACACGGGTAGTAACCCATAAGTGCTCCGTTCTTCTTCTAAGTGAAGTCTTGAGTCTGAAGAATCTCAGCACATTGCACAGGCTCTGTAGCATCGGCGAGGATCCTGAAATTCTTTGGGTAGATTTTAAACTCATAATTTTGCCGGACAGCGCCGTAAGATTATACTCTTGTCGATTTCCAACTGCCAGGGGATTTTTTTACGTGTGCAACAATGCACACGGGCGTCCGATCTGACTACCCAGAGACCAGGGGAATTACTTGAAGTTCGTCCACGTGAAAAATTCCCAGCTCTTACCGGGGATTGAACCAGAAACCTCTAGCACTCGACGCGGACACCATGTTTCTAGACCACGTAGCCCCTCTGATCCGCAGACGAACGTCTAACCGTAACACTGCTTCCTGATACTAAATTAATAAGGGTAAAAAGGAGAATAGGTTTAGTTGCGTATCCTTTACAGGACGTTGCAGAACCAACCCCAGCAGCCCCTGGCTGTTGTGTCGTTGGCGAGGCGAATCATTCATCTTACCATTTAAGTCAACATTGCTCAAAATATGTACTTAGAAATCTCATGGAGGTAACGGCGGCAGGCCGTAACGTTAAGCACATCATCCAAGTTCAGGGCAAATCTGTGACGCACCGACTCATTTTGGGAATCTTCGACTTAAAAGTAATTCTATTCGTAAAGATCAGCCTACAAGAGCTGTATCCGGCAAATCAATGACAGTGTTTTATAACAGAAACCACAGGAATAAAGCAATGCTGGGCCAATGTGATCAATTCTACCGTGGCAAGAGGGGAACAATAGCAAGACAATGAAAGTACGCGCAAGTTCAACAGATGGGGAAAACGTGTGCTGTTTAGGTAGTTTAAGGTAGAGAATTGAGGCGGAAAAAATTTACTCTTGTCGGCTGTAATTATTATAACACTGCTCGCAGTACAGGTAAAAGTGGATAGCGTTAGAATTCGGTATTGCAATCAGTGCGATTCCGTTGCGCTAGTACAGAGATTCATACAGAAGACCCGGGTTTGATGCTTGATAAAGGGTGGAGAATCTTGTTTCTACCAGAAAGAAAATTTTAAAAAATGAAGAAAAATAATCCTTACTTTTACATGGTGTTAACTGTTGTAGACTACGTTTCAAACATATCCCGCGTACAATGAAACATTGTGTTAATCTCATTCATGCGAGGCTAACGAAAAGTAGAACCAGTCAGCTTCGCAATATTACAAACACAAACGAAAAGTAGACCCAGTCAGCTTTTTAATATTACAATTATAAACAATGAAAGTAGAACCATTCAGCTTCACAATATTACAAACACAAACGAAAAGTAGAACCAGTCAGATTCGCAATATTACAATTATAAACAATAAAAGTAGAACCACTCAGCTTCTCAATATTACAAACACAAACGAAAAGTAGAACCTGTCAGCTTCACAA